TAGGAGGAAAACTGACTGTACAAAGAATTTAAAATGTTTGACTTCATAGCAAGTACAGATATATTTCTACAGTTCAAATCCTGGGTTTTCATAAAGCTCAAGCACAACAGACATAATCCATAAATGGGAGTTAAAAGAACAATCATTCACATTTTGGAAATCTTGAAAGCACTACACCCAATTGTTTTAATATTCTGCAACAAACAAAATCATTGTACCATAAATGAGAAAAAGGTAACTGAAGTCCATGTTGGCAAAGAAAAACATTTATCACTTTGCTTCTGCCATAAAAACATTATGTTTTTCTGATGCTCATAAACCAAGTAATGAGTGTTTTAAAGTTTAAAAAGTGTTTAGGGCCATTATGAAGATCTCATTTGTTAGACAATTTGTCACAGAAAAAGAGTGTGCATGATCTTCCTATAAAGAGAAATTATTGCTGTAGATAATGAGGTCTATAAAAAGCTGTCTCCATGCAAAATTCTAGTATTTTACCTCTACACTTCTGTTTTTCTTGGGTCATAAAAAGTTAAGAACACGAAAGAACTACCACTAAATTTTAACAGGTGATATAAAAATACATTTTTAAAATTCTAGATTTCAGATGGTAACACTGTATGCTGCTGTGTATCCTAATTCAATCTTTTAGTAATTCAAGATTTTTTTCTGAAATCATCTTTTTTAAAGTAAGGATTTATCTGTTTGGTTTCTGGACAAGTCATCCTTTGTCTTCTTTAAATTATAATAATTTATCTTTGCTTGGCTTAATGATAATCTTTTCAAATCTTTCCTAAGAACTGTCTACTCACTCTTCCCATGAAATATGGCAAATCAGTAAATTATACAGTAGATGATGATAATATCACTGATCCCTATACGTGTATTTATATTGTGATAAGAAATTTCTTATGTATATCTGAATACATTTATAACTACTCCCAAATATTCCTTAGCAGCCCCTTGTCATACCTGAGAACTATCCCATTATCCAGAATTATTAGGGAAGTAGTGCTTCTGATAATCAGGACTGGCATCCTAAGAGTCAAAATTCTACTTTAACCATTGGGATGGAAATCTTTCTCAAATGCTATCTGTCTTCTAAAATTACTAGTAATAACATTTTCTTAATGACAGAAGGCCAGTCTTATGACTCTCAGAATAGATGGAACAGCCATGACATTGAATGGTCTCTGACAGTTTTTCTTTCTTGCTTTTTTTTTAAGATGGAGTCTTGCTCAGTCACCCAGGCTGGAGTGCAGTGGCATGATCTTGGCTCAGTGCAACCTCCGCCTCCTGGGTTCAAGCGATTCTCCTGCCTCAGCCTCCTAGTAGCTGGGATTACAGGTGCACGCCACCATACCTGGCTAGTTTTTTTGAATTTTTAGTAGAGATGGGGTTTCACCCTGTTGGCCAGGCTGGTCTTCGAACCCTTGACCTCAAATGATTCGCCTGCCTCAGCCTCACAAAGTGCTGGGATTATAGGCATGTGCCACCGCGCCCGGCCCATTCTTGCATTTTTTTATTCCATTTTCCTAACTCTTCTGTCTTTTCTGTTTGCCAGCACAGTATCTACTCTCCCTTCTTAAGATGGTCTATGTGTCTGCTTACAAGAGTTCTTGCATTTTTTAACTTGTTGATTGAAGTCCAATATGGACTGGGAAATTGAAGGTTTTTGTTAAGCTTTGTCTAAAACAGAACAGCTTTTGTGATGCTGACTTTGGCTATTCTAGACCCTTCTGTCTTTCTCTTAGTAGTCTCTACTCTCTTAGCAGTAGAGACATTTACCAAAGAAATGCCTTCTGGATATGTGGGATAACTGTACTGAACTAATGCACAGATTTATTGTGGTAGAAACAGTCAGTAACATGCTATCGCCAGAAAATATTAAGAGCAATGATCATACTTCCTCCATAATTCCCATTATGTAAAGTAGACGAGACCTTAAAATATAGAGGTAGTAAACCCTTTCTAAACTTATCATTTTCTTACTCTACACACCTAAAGACCCACACATATTTAGGCAGTTCTTGCAACTGATCTGTGTAAGATCTGGAAACTTACACAGAAAACTCAGCACGGTAGAAACTGCAGAACTGGGCGCTTGCTGCTGAACTCTGCAGCCTGCAATACACTGTTCAGTCTGGGCATTGAAAAGAAAATCGTTCTCTCATAACTTCTTTCGATCAATTTTACATCGTATTGACGGTATATTGCCATCTGAACCAAAGAACCAAATAAAAAATCATAAAATGTGACCATCTGAGGATGGCCTGGTAACTAATATGCGCTACTAAATTCTTATTGACCAGTAGACATTAATAAATAGAAAACACTGCACTGCTCAAGGAAGACATGTGGACATAGTAGTTGATAAATGCTCATGTTTGATTTTTTTCACTCAGCCAAGCACAGGGGTGGGAAGTGAGGTACAAGAAGATAAACGGGGCTTGGCTTCTGGCCACAGGGGTGCACAGACCAAATTTTCTTCCAGAGGACAGTCTTAGCAGCTCAGAAGGACTCGTTGTATGAATGAATAACTAGTGTCACTGATTCTTAAATTTGATGTTTAGATGTGGTGCAGTTCTTTGAACTTTAACATGTCTTTTTTATCTGTCTGCTTTTAGGAATTTTTTCTTTGTTACTAATTTTGAGCAATTTGATGAAAATATACCTTGGTATCGTTTCTTCATGTTTTCTGTGCTTGGGGTTCCTTGAGCTGCTTAGATCTGTGAGTTTGTGGTTTTCATTAAATTTAGAAAATTTTCAACCATTATTTCTTTAAATTTTTTTCTGCCCTTTCTCCTCTCATCTGGGGACTCCATTTACACACATATGAGGCTACTTGAAGCTCACTGATGCACTGCACATTTTTTCTTCTTTTTTTCTTTGTGTTTCCTTTTGGATCATTCCTATAGCTGTCTTGAAGTTCACGAATCTTTTATTCTGTAGTCTTTAATCTGCTGATAATCCCATTCCACATAGTTTTTGTTCAGGCATTATATTTTAATTCTAGAAGGTTGAGTTTGTTCTTTTATATATTTTTCCTATTTCTACTTTGTGAACATATAGAATATAGAGTTTAAAGGTTGAAGTCTCACATTCAAAATCTTCTAGAGCCCAAAGACATTTCTCCACTTTTAAGTTGTTACGATTACATAATGACATAAGTACTTCTCAAGGAAAATGATAATTGATAATAAATTAAAAAATAAATAAAGGAAGAAAGAGAGAAAGACGAGAGAGAGACAGAGATAAACAACATGTTAAGATGGCACACCAGATTTGCCACCATCTAGATGTTTGTGTCTTAGTCAGGCTGATGCCTGAAGCCCAGAGCCTATTTCCGTGCATCTGTTTAGTTAATGATGCAAGGCAGGGGAGCTGGGTAGGATCGTGTTGCTCTTGAGCGTGTGAGTGCTCATTGGCACAAACGGTGTCTTGGCCTATGACATCTTGCTGTCATCCTTGCATCCAATGTTGTGATTGACGTGCATGATATAGAGTGAAGCAGCCCTGATTTTCCCTGTTTGCAGGTGACACATCTGAGACACAGTGATGTGCTGTAATTTTCCCAGGCTCACTGTGCTCAGAAAAGGTAGAGCCTTAGTTTGAACTGTGATTTTAGTCAAAGCTTCCTGGATCACGCTAAACTTAGAGAGAGGCATAAGACCTAAGGCCTCGTTCCAGGAAGTGATTTCCATCTGTATCTCTTTCATGCTCCTGTAAGACTATGCTCTGGATGTTGACCTGGTGCAACTCTGCTTTTGAAGCTTTTCTTCACCAATCTCTGCTTGCAAGCAACAGATGGGTACAGCTTTAGGGCGGTCTATGGGCAATGTATAGAAAAGGGCTAATTATGTCCATCCCTAAGAAGAAGTGAGTCTGGCCATGAGGCAGTGGCCAGCTCTGTGGGAGGAACTGTCATGGGCTGGGGTCCATGAGCTGGGATGGCACACCCAAGAAAGAAGGAAGTTCTGTAGCTTGGACCGTAGCAATGGAAACAAAGGATGACACAGAGAGAATGACAAGAAGGCAGACATCCAAAAGAACAAGCAAAGGGGAGGGTGTAGTTACATAGTGCTGAGGCTAGGGTGTGTGGTGTGTGTGACACCTATGGCCTTGAGCTTCTGAACATTATCTGTAGTTATGTGTATATGTTAACATCGTTTAGAAGAAAATAAATGTCAAGGAAAGGACTGATTGATGATTATCCCACATCCCAGGATTTGATGTGAAATGTATGGAACATGGATGGCAGAAGTGTAAGCTTTCTCTCTCGGTATTCTCCCCACCCGCCCTCATTCTTCTAAGAGGTCACACTTTTTTAGTGACAAAGCAAGTTAGCACACTGGTAACTAGACTCAGGAATTGCTTCCTAGGGTGAGTCTCTTTCTTCCCAAAATGAGTGTCATGAAAACCAATCAGGAACAGTGTCAGTTGATAAGGACTCAGAAAAAGGCTGTTCTAATCTCCTCTCCAATCATACATTTGCTTTAACACTTTTGCCAAAGTCAACTAACAACACTATTCTCTGTAAGCCCATGCTTTAAAAACACAAAGGTTTCTTTTCTTTCCTTTTGGGACTGGGACCCAGCACATTTTAAGTGTTCACATGGGGTTTTACACACAGGTGTTTGGGCATTAACTCTCTTACCAGTTAATGATAGTGCTTTGAGAAAATGTCAACCTGTCACAATCTCCACTGAAAACAAAGTAGCTCAGCTACATGAATAGAATGAAAAACACTTCACAGCATTTTCAGTGACTATAATCACATCTGTTCCTCTCTGTTTGTAGTGATCTTCAAGGACCCCTGAGCCTTTAAGACAAATTTTTAAAAGGAATGCATTTCCAAGTAAAACAGTTCAATATAATTGGTTTTCCTCTAATGTCCTAAAAATCTTTATTAGAATTGCATTTCTCAAAACTGGACTTGTATTGTTTTCTGAGGAGTTGCTCATAATTCCAGCTTTCTTTTTATTGTAATGAACTGGCCATACCTTCCAGCTCCCTGCAGCCAAGTTCTGCAGGGCGCCTGCCGCCCCTTCCAGCGTGTCTGGATTTGAGCACTCAGAGAGCAGTGTGAGGTAGGGTTTGACTATTGATGGGTGCCACAGCATCTGGATCCCTTTTGGTGGTTCGGCACAGTCTGGAAGAGGTCCTACTCCATCCCACTGGTGGAAGAAAAACAAGAGAGCAAACATCTTTAACAACTTTATGCTTCCCAACATTGCCTTCCTCAAACATTGCAGGCAAAAACAAAAGCAGAGCGTTATCACAGTTGGCGAACACAGACTACATGGAGGCTACTGCATCAGCAGTCCAGGGATCACTAAAAATAAGAAGCCATTCCTGCCCACCGAGAGCTTGGGATCGAGGGTGGAGGGTGGATTGGAGGATGCACACAAGAGAATGTAACTGCAAAAGAGGTGGATAAGCTCTCCAAGACTGATTCTAACATGTTGCTGTAGGAAGGAAGGGGAAGAGATGAATTAATTTTGATTGAGCAGGTTGGAAGAAGGATAAAGATCAAGGTAGCATATTTTATAGTAAGCATACTACAGGTGCTACTTAATAATTATCAACAATCAAATGCCCTCACTTTTTATGCATAATTATTAATGTGATAAACGCCTATATAATTTGTTACATACATACAAATTGCGTACTATTGCTGCATTTAACAAATGAGAGAATCGATAAAAGAGAGAAAGTGCTATGGTTTATTAGACACATTAACATGAGCTATAGGCAAATCTAGATCTTAGAGCAATCATGATAGTTAAATTTGCTTTGAATTCAATCTAATGAATAACAGGATAATGTGTAATTCAAAATTAATTACACATTATTTAGAAGTTATGGCTTGCATGCTCAAAGGAATACCAGTCAACCATTAAGAATGATCCTTAGGAAGACTATGTAGCAACTTGGACAAATTACAACAGTGAAAGTTAAATGATCAAAGCAGGATGCAAAGTAGTATGGGATTTGTACTTTATTCCAAGTAAAATGCATCATAAAATACCTGTAATTATCATAAAAATTTATTAATAAAATGTCTTTTTTTCTACATGTCAATCTTCCTGTTCTATTACTCTTACCATTTTAAAACTATTAAAAATTAAAATAATGATTCTGATCTCTGATTACACAAAGGCTTTGTCTTTTGTGAAAACAATGAGTATAATAAAGGTAGAAATGAAAGATGCTATGCTTTTAGAAAAAATGTACACATATTCAGTTCTGGGAAAAATCACTGTAAAATAAAACAATTTCTGTATAATTTTAGTGTGAGAACATGAAGATGTTTAGCTTATTAGTGTATTTATTAATGACTACTTAAAAGACAGTATAAATGACACACACTAAACATACTTGCAGATATTTTATATATATACATATATGTGCATGTACAGATATGTGTGTGTATAAATATAAAAAATAAAACCATATTTCTGAACGTAGTCCTAAGTTCTGAATATTTTACTCCAAGAAAATATATGCTTACTTTGTATCCTTGCGACATAAAAATAGAAAAGTGAGTAGAGATGCTGTTGTCACAAATAATTTCAAAAATTTCATTATTTATTTCCCAAAAGAAGCTAAAATGCTTGTCTTTTTTTCCTCAATGACGATACAGCTTAGTTTAAATCAAGGCTAAAGCTCAGAGACAAATGACATCCTATTAAAGGTCATTTTCAATGAAATGTCACTCAATTTTAACTTTATAACAAGTACACTCAGTGTGGAACGCTTCCTGTCCTTTTAACCAAAGCCACTTCTTAACTATTCAAAGATGACTTTGCACCTGTGAACAGCCTATCAATAAACCCAATACATCTCCTTTAAATTAAAAAAAGAAGGAAGTGAACCAGCCCTGTCACATTGCTCCTAGTTCATTATTTGAGCCTGGCTTGCTGCACTGAATAGAAAGTGGGCACCAGAAGAAGACAGCAGTCATTCTGTAGGTTTGTCCATTTCAACGACAAAGCAGTAGCAATACTGGCCTCTCAAAGGAGACCAGCTTGGGGTAGTGAATCTATCTGCTAGAGTGACAAGAAATGGCAAATTATTTCTTTTATTTCATTTTATATCTTGTTATCGCCTTAAACATTTAAAGCAATTACTTTTATATAAGAATTTGATAAAATTCAGAAAAATCAAAGTGTGAAACTTCCAACTCAACATGGATGAGATTTTCCTCTGATGTAAGAGCTAACCTAACAGCGAGAGGTATGCAGAAGTAGTATTTGCATGCTCATTACAAGAAGAGGGAAAAGTAGCCGTGTTATCTTTTGCTGGGTTTCATCTTGCTCTCCTTTTCTAGCCTCTGTGCAATAAAGCAGGATGAATGGTTAAGTCAGTAGACAACTTTCTTCAGGCTCTGACATGTCATCTATGTAGCTCTTAAATACCTTTTATTACAATCCTTTCTTAATGGCTACAGAGAGAATCGGAAAGAAATAAAAGGACAACTGATGTGAACACAGATAATCTTTGATGGCAACTGGAGATGGAGTTCAAAGGGGATGCTTGGCCATTTTAGCACGTTGATGGTGCCCTGGTTTGTTAATATTGAAAAAAAAGGACTATTTCAAAGCCACTCAATGTATCTGCCAGACCTTTATCTGGGTACTTTATTCAAACTTTTATTAAGTTCATGAGGGAAAAGTATCATAAGTTAGTAGGGGAAAAGGCCTATTAAGAATAGATTTCCATAAGCTGTAAAATGACTGGAAGTATTCTTTAAAGACTTGGGTTAACATACTTGAAATTATTTTGTCTAGCTCATCAACATCAACAAGGCACTAGGGCAATGGTGAGGTCAGGATCAGACTGACGTAGGTGAGACAATTCTGCACATGAAAACTTTTGATGCTGGAAGGTGAGGATTCATGAAAAGTCATGGGATATACAACTCTTTTACCTAAGTAGAAATACTTTATTTATAAATTTAAATATAAGGTGTTTCTATCCTAAAATATCTACAAAAATGTGGCGTTATCTGAAGGCATGCAATGGCTTAATCTTTAACATAACTGAAGCAGTGATCGCAGTTATTTAGTCCCAAAGAACACAAGACGAAACTTAGAAATCTTGTGCAAACTGTGTTCATTCTGGAGGCCTACATCTTGAGGACCTGCTACCGAAAACCCTTTAAGAGCTTGAAATATGCAAAGAAAACATAAAGAAGTAAAATGTCATCAAGTTGGGAGAGAGAACTTTCTACATAATAAATATAATAAAGAAAGAACACATGAAGACAAAGTATTTCCACAACAGCAGGGGCGGCAATGCCAGGAGAGGATTTTTGATTATGTTATCTGCATGAGGACTACACATGAGAGAGAGACAGAGAGAGAGAGGAGTGTGTGTGTGTATGTTTACATATCTTCATTCCTCAGGTTGCAGTTTAAAAGTAAAGCAGAATAGAGAAAGAAAAAGAAACAGCATGAGGAGAATGGCATTTGTGGTTTTAAAAAAAGTTTTTTTGGCTGGGGTGGTGGCTTACGCCTGCAATCCCAGCACTTTGGGGGGCTGAGGTGGGCAGATCACGATGTCAGGAGATGGAGACCATCCTGGTCAACATGGTGAAGCCCCTCCTCTACTAAAAATACAGATGGCGCACACCTGTAGTCCCAGCTACTCAGGAGGCTGAGGCAGGAGAATCGCTTGAACTGGGGAGACAGAGGTTGCAGTGAGCCAAGATTGGACCACTGTACTCCAGCCTGGTGACAGAGTGAGACTCCATCTCAAAAAAAAAAAAAAAAAAAAAAAAAAATGGTTGGTTTTGCTGGGTTTCAACTTGTTCCAGCTTGGGGGAAATTTTCAATGAAAATATCCCTTCCTCCTCAGAATTTTACTCCTTATGTTTGAGAGTTACATAAATGTTCCACAATTCTGCACAACATGCTAATTTTCATCTGTTATATTTTAGCAAATAAAATTTACAAAAGTTGTAACAGTCCTAAGTCTTATAGATACTACTTAAATGTTCAAATTACACTTTGTGCAAATCATTTACATGTTGTTGAACAGGAAAGTATACCAAAGAATATATTACTGGCATAATAATAAGCCTCCACTTATGAATTGTCTTGCTTAGGGAAATTTATAATTTTACACACATACTTAGAGTTCATAAAGCTAAGGATTAAGGTGGTTATAACCAGAGTATTTGAAAACTGAGTAATTGAGAATTAAAGCTCTGTTGGTGACAGACTGGCAGCAAAGCAGTGAGTGTATATAGATCATAGAACAAACCAATAGATTGATTTTTTGCCACCCAAATAGTGCCTCACTCAATAATGTATCAGCACGTTTTTTTTCCACTGGCTTCAAATATATGACTGCATGACTAATATCCATAAAAATTTGTCTAACAGTTTCTGTCATTCAATTTCTAAAATTGTATAGAATTGAAAATATGTATTCTCTCATTAAGAAGGAAATGCTCAAAATCTTTTCAGAAAAAAAGAATATCGAGCTTCCCAAGACGGGAGGTAAGGGACGGCTAACATTTAGACATGATGCTTTTTGATATGATCACCATAGCACAGAGGATACATAGTAGCCACTGTAAAAAAGGCCTGCTTAGGAAGAAAATAACATATGTGTGGGGATCTGCTCAATGTGTATGTCAAAAAGAAAGAAACCTTTCTTTGGATTTGCTTTAAATACTTTGGCTTCCATGCAGGGCTTACATTCTATTTAGAAGATTTCTATCTCAATTGGGTTTGAGAATGAAATAGTGGAAGCCATTTGCTCCTTATATGAAGAGAAAGATGGAAGTTAGGGACAAAAACCTGAAAATAGGCTGGGCACAGTTGTTCATGCTCATAATCCCAGCACTTTGGGAGGCTGAGGCTGGTGGATCACTTGAGGTCAGGAATTTGAGACCAGCCTGGTCAACATGGTGAAACCTCATCTCTACAGAAACAGAAAAATTAGCTAGACAAGGTCAGGAGTTTGAGATTAGCCTGGCCAACATGGTGAAATGCCGTCGCTACAAAAATACAAAAATTATTCGGGTGTGGTGTTGCACACCTGCAATTCCTGCTACTTAGGAGGTTAAGGCAGGAGAATCACTTGAACCCGGGAGGCAGAGTCTGCAGTGAGCTGAGATGGCGCCACTGCACCCCAGCCTGGATGACAGAGAGAGACTCTGTCT